CTATCAGTTTAGACAAGCTGTTTTCACTTACCTAATGATTCAAACTTGCTCTTAGGTTAAAAGTGGGTTTTACAATGGCTACAGGGGGGAAAAGGTTAGGCAAGAACAGACGCAAACAGGCTGGCAACCTGCGTCCCTTCTCTTGAACAAAGGTCAAGAACAAGGGATCACTGTTCAGTATCCACAGCTGCAGAAAGACATGAGCTGCAGGCTCGCTGTCTCGTAACTTTCACGAAAACATCTTAATGCGAGGGACTTTCCCTTTCTTTGATTTAACACCCATTGCACTTTTATAAAGTTGGAATTTTCAACTCTCCTTGGAAGAGTTTATTTTGAAGAATGGAATTTCCAGTCAAAGAAGTATGTAGCATATTGAGGGCAACACCAAGTTTTCACTACATAACTACCTCCATTAAGGAGGTGAAGAAAGATGAACTCAAATGGCTTAAAGCACGCCAATGGCCTTACCGAGCAAATAAGGACTAAGGCAACCCAGCTCAGGAACAATATTTAGGCATCTTTCTCACTTGCTGAAAACAAACACTTGGCAGTGAGAACAATAAAAACATTAAATGTAGTGCCTGTTCCCCAAAGTGGTCTCTGCTATTCTTTCTAATGAGAGTTCTATTTATAGGATTCACTCAACTTTATGAAAATGTTTTCTCCTAATAAAGTGAAAAATAGGTTTTTCTAGTTCTAGCAAAAAGTGTACATTAAAGTGAATCAGTCCAAAATTAAGAGGACCTTTTTTGCTTGTGATTTCTGTAAAGAAAGAAATGATGTCTTTTAACAAAAGTTTTTTTTACAGACCTTCCTTTCCTACAGTGAGATGCACTCTTTCATACATATATCATTTAAATAATTGTTTCTACTCAACTCTGCAGCAAAAAATAACTATAAAAATTGCCCGAAATTTACCACACCACTAACTTTTTAAGTCATTCATTTTTCCAAGGCAACCCTAGTTCCAAAAGAAACACAAGTCATTAATAATAAAAAAAAAAAGACATTACTTTCTTAACCATAAATAATTTATTACTCAGGAGTGACATTTTGAAAAGTTACAGACATTGCATCTCATGGTCCTTAGTCTTTTCCTGACAAAAAGACAACCATTCTCTGGGAATCCCTTTACATTCATCCATTTATTAATAATTAACTGAACATCTTCTATGTGATAGCTCCTAGGCATATAGCAACGAACTAGATACACAAGGTCCCTGCTGCCACGGAGATTACATTCTAGAAGGGTGGACACAGATAATAAACAAATAAACAAGGTAATTGCAGGTAGTGATAAATGCCTTGATGAAAATAAGCCAAGGCGATATGACAAACAGTAACAATGGGTGTGGATATACTTTTCAAAAGTTTTTCTTCTTTAATTTCATTTAAATGTAAACATTTTCCAAAGTTATAGATGTCCATTGTTTAATCAAATAGTACTGTAACTTTTTGGTATTTGTTATAAGAAACAGAAATTTGAATTCTCAAAGCAGGTTGATGATGGGGTTTTCAGAGGCAGCCTCTGAAGTGACATTTGAGCAGAGAAGTGAAATGACAAAAAAGAGCTACCCAAGTAAGATCTGGAGAAAGAGCTTTCCAGAGAATGGCAAGTGCAGGTCCTAAGACAGAAATGAGGTCCTCAAGGTTGCTAGAGCACAGGGAGCAAGGGAAAAGGCCCAGGAAATGATGTGGTTTATCTTTTTAAATGACTGCTATTTTCCATGTATGGAATGGATTGTGGGTGTGGAGTGGGGAGAGTGATAGCAAAGAGATGAAATAGGAAGAGACTGAGAGATGCTGGTGGCTTGGACAAGGGTGTAAGTAGTGACAAGTGCACAGTTTCAGGACATATAGCAGTCAGAGAAGGTTGATGGGTTGGGTATGGGGGTGAGAGAAAGACTCCAATTTTGGGGCAACAGGGCGAGATGAAGACTAGGGAAGTGTGGATATTTGTCACTGCTCAGCATCTCAATCCCTTCTTATATTTATAGAAGCTACCACTGTCTTAAGTTTCGGGGAAATGATGCTAGCCCATCGCTCTCTGACTCCTGGAAGCTGGGGCACAATCTGATGCTTCTGTCAGGGTCTTTGAGTCAGCAGTGATGCAGAGGAGCAGGGACGCTTTATAATGAATTCCAGTGCTGTACATGGGGACTGTGTTTGGGGGCAGTGGCGGCAACAGCAGTACCCTAACGTTGCATAGCCTTGGTCGCTGTCATTCTGATCACCTAGCTTCTCTTAGTTCTGCTTATTTCCAAGTCTATTTCTCTAGCTTTCCCATTAAAAAAAAATTACTTAAAAAAATTGAGGTATGACTTCCATAAAGGGCACAAATCTGAAGTATGTAACCACCTATGAAACTTCCACCTAGATCAAGATACAAAATATTTTCAGCGCCCTAACATAGCCTTCCGTCTGACACATTATTTTTTTCAATAAATACAATTTCTACCTGAGTTAGTCAGTTTATAGCTGAGTCAAATGCAACCAAGCACTCTGATTTCTGGCACCTCAACGTCTATCAAATATGAGCCTTACTGAATTCAGTGAGCATGCGGCAGGGAAAAGAGCCAAGGAGCACTCCTCTTTGTACCAACGTCCTAGGTCAGTAAGTAAGACTCAAGTTATGATTCTTTCTTATTAAACATAATAATTAAACTTTATTACTATCTAAGTAAATAAAAATTGATGTTTTTAAATGATAAAAGCCTACGCCTCATAGTCACTCTGTGGTCTGGAAACAATTCTTTTTAGGAACCACACCACTATCCAAAGCTGTTTCTTTACAGTCCCTAACATAAAGCTACACAATCGGAAATTTTCCAAAGACAGCTACAATGTGGAACTTTGCTTAGATCCATATGAAGTCTTCCTGCTTTCTTATTCCTGCAATGACTCTACGGACATCATTACCAGTGCAGGAGCATTAGTACTTACAGTTAACAGGACACTATAAGGCATTTTGTTAACTAATATATTAATAACAACATCCACTACAAGGAGCTCATTTAAAAAATATGAGCCATCTCCATGTCATCTGATGGTAACTCCATCCTTCAGATGCTCAGGCCTTACTTCTTTCAGAGTCCAACTGGCAGATTCTTTTGGCTCCTACTTCCAAAAGATACGTAGAATACAACAATTTCTTGCCACCTCTATTGCTTCTTGCCTGGTCTGAATCACCATCTCTCTCGCCTGAATCACTGCAAAACTGGATGCTAGAAGATTAAAGAGGAGAAATGCCTTCAAAGTTCTAACGGAAAATGAGTTTGAACCTAGAACTGCAGGTCCAATCAAAATGAGGTAAGGGGAAGAAATAAAGCCCTTGTCAGACATGCAAGGACTCAGAGTTTATCTCCCATGCACCCTTTTTGTGTGTGTCAGGGGGGAAGTACTTATAATATACTTCAGCAAACAAAGAAAACGAAATCCAGAAAGAGTGGGATACAAAACAAAGCAGAACATAAGAGTGCAAAAAATATATATCCCAGGATGACAGCTAAAAGTTACTTTGTCCAAGTCTGATAGACTTGATTAAGAACCTTAAAATGATCTCAGGGTTATAGTGAAGAAGATATTTGTCTTCTGTCAAAGAAAAATATACAAAGGCAAGAATATGTATTAGAAATCTCAGGTTGAGAGCCAAAAGCACTCTGAACAAATCTGGTAATTCAATAGTATAAAAGAAGTGTTATAGTGAAGAAAGCATTTTTCTTCTGTCCAAAAAAAGGAGCAATTTATTTGCTCCAGGAAAAATAAACATCTGCAAAAGTCATGACCCAATTATGAAGCAAATAACACACAGCATGATTTAGAGAAGTTGATGGCTGTAAGATAAAATAACCCATTTGACCTCTGGCTTGGAACATTCTGCTTAAACCAACACAGACTTCAGGATGTAAGACCGGATATACAGGAGACAAAGTCACCTGGTTTACCTGTGAATACTTTTGCATAATCTAGCACATAACTGCTAGTTGTCAATTTGTAGTTTTTAGAATCAATATGTAAAGGAAAAGCCTAAGTCAAGTATAGTTTCCCAAAATAATATACATCTATTAATGTTTATTATATAAACTAAGAGTGTAACTTAGAGAAGTTAGGAGGTAAAGGACAGTAATCGGTTGGAAAGAAAGCAGAGGGTTGGTCATTTCCACAATGGTGGGGAGTCAAGAGACACTGCTTAAAACTGATGGATCAAGAAATAAAGATTACTAGCTAAAGTTACAAAGGAAACCAAAAGAAGAACTAAAACCATAAAATGGGGAGGAGGAATGGAGAGAGATACACTGCTTATCATCCATAATGGACAATCAACAGACAATGACAAACCAAGAAACAGTGGCAATAACCCTGGAGGGAGGGAGGCAGCTACCCGAAGAACAAAAAGCGGCCTTTATCTCAGAAAAGTGGGCTTGGCGTGGAGGGCAGCGAGAGCACTTCTACTTTTTATTTTCTATCCGTCCGAACTGTTTTAAGATTTTTCTTCAGGGACATGCACTAAAATTAAAATTGTTTGAATCCTGAAAAACATTAGGGCTGGTAGTCTTGGAAGGGAATGCCAGTTGACAGCCTAACAGTCTAGGAAGACCTCAGGAGTTTATAAAAAGCAGGTATAAAAACAAAAAAGATTTGAAGTGAAAGGCCATTTAAAATAAAGGCATAAACTTATTGAGCACTACTGAATACAGGTGAGTCAATAAAAGGTTTATAGTTACGACTCGGTGATTTAGACAACAAAAACTGTTTAGTATTTTCTATGTAAGAGATCAGGGATTCATTTTAAAACTATTCCCGTCCAAAATTATATAACAAAGTAAGTGTGGCCCTTAAAGTATTTCAGATTCTGGAAAACTCAATTTTGGACAAAAAGATGTTATTACATACATTTATGGATACTAAATGATGGTCTAATACTTTAACATGTTGGTTTAAAAAGAATGACCTTAAGAGAAATGATCCTTAAACTCATTATGATAATTAATAGCATGACACCAAGCTTATAATATTTTAATAAAACGTTCACATTGCTGGAACATCGTATTCAGTTCATCCAACAGACATGATAAAGCAAACAAAGGGAAGAAGACCGAGACAGTCCTCCCACAAAACACCTGAAGTACATTTCTTTTGACTGTTTACTCAACATACATACCTGTCACATACTCTTTTGGTATTCTTCTGAATTGCTATACAAAGCTTTAAAAAATGAAAATTTCATATAAAAGTAGTTCTTTATCTGTTTTTTTAACAATTGAGTTTTCAAATTAAATAACGAGGTGTTCCATTTACCAACCTATATTGCATAGAAATAGTTAAATACTTCAATGTGTAGGAAAACATCAAGAAGTCAGTTTTTTTAATGGCTGCTACGTCTTTAAGTTGGTAATTCAAATTTTATTTATAATTTAAAAAAATTACACATTCTGTGGGTATAAAAGTTAAAAAAATACATTCCAATTTAATAAAAAAGACTTCTCAGTTTACATTTCCAAACACTGCGGTGATTACTATAATGACTACTTTGTAGATATACTTAGCCAAAATAAGTTATCTTTTAAAAATCAATAACATGTAGTATGCTGGCAAGATTTCTTTAGAAACAAATGAGGGTAATTATAAAGTCATTGTTATAAATGCACTACTACAAATAAATACATTTTAAGTATAATTACTTTGTTTCATAAAGCAGAACATAAAAATGCATAGAATAGGTAAAGATTATTTTAATCTAAGTCCCTAGTGCAGAAATCTGGGCACTTAATCCCTTAAGAAGTTAGAGGATTTCAATTTAAAAGATGACTTCTCACTGGGGATATTGTGACTTTCAGTGAATCAAAAAAAGAAAGTCTATTATTTCTATTCAGATGCTTCTAGTGTTTTGGTTCAAGTGTTTCTGTACAGCTCCTCCTTTAACTTAAAAGTTCCTTCCCTGAAAAAGATATTTTAAGCTAATAATTTTGGCCTCATGACATAGATACTTTAAAGATACATGTGATTCTGCAGCAAATCCCTCTCCCCATTCTAATACCTTTACATATAGGCACTTATAAATATATACATATTTTCAGGATTATAAAAATATTTAATTTTATAAGCATTTAAATAATTACTGGATGTTAATACATTAATATTTGTATAATTTTACTTTTATTTATAGGAAGGTTTTCTTATAGCAGCATTTGCATTGCAAATGAAATCTGATCAATGATGTTGCAGTGCACATGGACTCATACCGCAAATCAGACTGCGCAGCTGCAGCATTCCCCTAAAGGGAACATCTATTTCAGCTACAGAAGAGCAGTTCCTAGAAAGTACAGAAATCTTAAGGGGCTAATAACTTCTCTGAACCTTACAAGTGCATTTAAAAGTTATCTCCAAAAAATTGGCAAGATTCATTAAAATACCCACAAGAAGTCCATGTTATCTTTACCCCAAGAAAAATTTTCTAATGAGATAAGTAAAAATTCTAATAATGAATAGTTTTTAATTGAATCACATGAACTTAGAAACTAATTGAAGGTTTCAAGAGTAAAATAAGAAAAACGTCACTGTGAGAGGTATAAGAAAGTGAGAAAGATTGATTTGACAGGTTAAAGTATTATGAAAAACCAAATAAAAACTCTCAATCTCACACACTCATATTAAGCTTGTTTTTGTTGAGCTCACGCTCCAGATTTCCAATCAAAGTGTCAATACTTTCTTGTAGATCTTTGAGATTGGCTTTTCGATCTGCTGTAGACTCAACTGTCTGCATTGTCAAATATGTCTGCAATGTGCACTCCTTGGACACGGGACTTGGCTGTTCAATCACTATACCTGGTCCATACATTTTGCTACAATTTTCTCCATCTTCAGAAGGGACATCATCATAATCCACATCATTTAAATGTTCTTTCGTATTTAAAAAGTAGTTCTCTCCACAGCTGCTCCAGTCCCCTGCATAGCGATTGCTAAGAGGACTGTCTAATCTGGTTTGCCTGGGCCTAAGTACTCTTGATGACTCAGTACCACTCAAATTTAACAGGTAAGGTCGTTCTTTCTTCTGCCTCATATAATTTAGAGAAGACTTCTGCTCTGGGAACAAATTGTCTGTTGATTCTTTAACAGTTAAACGCTGCACTGGAAACAAACAATAAACTTGCTTTAGTAACAGTAATCCAACGGACCTTAAAAAAACAGAGCTAGAGATAAGCCATTTAATAATCAACTACAAACATGCAATAAAACAAAAAACATGCACACTATCAGAAGAAAGCATTCCACAATTATTTTTTCTATCACCAGACATAATTAAGATTAGGGACAGAAGCTAGTAGAATGTTCAGTGGTGCTAATTCATGCTATATCATAACATCCCAAAACAAACCAAATTTCCAACGTTGATTAACTTCCTGAGCAAGTTAATTGTTATCTAGCTATAATTCAAACAGTAGCTAAGCTGGTAGCTCCTTCTAAATTAAAAGCCACAGCAAAAAGCAGGCAAGGCATGTTGGTGTACAAACAAAACAAAACAAAGTTCCTTCGTCTGCAAACATCTAAATAAGGCAAAGGCATCTAAAGTGCTCACTCTAAAAGTTCTGACCTTTGTGTTTTTTTGCAATTCTATTAGCAGCAGAGTCATAATTTACTTTACTAAGCAGCCCAAATTTCACTTTGATAAAATGCAAGAATACTAGACTTGACTACTTATTACCTGAGTTTGATTATACAGCATTAGCTACTAATAGTCTTCATTTACGGCCTGAAAATAGTACAGATATTTTATTTTCCCATTCTGATTAGGTATCTAACAATCTCAAAAAGCATTCCTCATACTAAGACTAATTTCTTCTAAGAGTATGCATTGTACTGGCCACAGAGATTACCACTGAGACACATGTTACTTCATAACAAACCAAGGCTTTACCACTTACTTTTTTGTTTAGTATATTGAACACAACATTTGTCTAAGGCTATTCTGCATATAAAATGGACTTAATTTAAATGTTGAGGAATAGTTATTAAATGTTGTCCATAATACGTTTCTCTTTCTGCTTGTTTATTCCCCATTAATAAGTGCCTCTCCATTTATACTTCCCTTCACTAAGATAAAGGGAACATATTATCAGTGATAATGCACCAACTTTACATTCCAACATATAACGAATGCTTGCTGCCTATTGTACAAAATAAGATAACTGAAAAATAAAACAAAAATGTATGAGGTTCTAGTTTTCCAGACTTGCAGTTATATCCATAACGTTTTCCAGAGATCAAGTAATTTTTTTTACTTAGATTTTATTAAAATGCTTGATACTTGTATACAGGGATGTTTTTAACATTTCTATTTATCTGCATTTTTATGATGGTTATTGTATATCATTATGAATAGCTACAGGCTCTTGATCTAAAGTTTTCTAGAAAATAAAAGTCTGATATTTACTTTAAACTGATCTTTAATAACCATATTAATGCAGAATGTCCCATGCCATTCACTGATGTAACTGTAGAATGGATTCCCCTGCTCAATTATTCACACTCCTTTTTCTCCTCTAGCTGCTTCTCTCCACTAAGCCTCCTTGCTTCTCTCCCTTCATTTTCTGTGCTATTCCTGTTCTTCTCAGTGCTTAAGTGTCATGCCTGTTGTTTTTGCCAAACCATTACAGTGCTCTGCTAACCTTGAGGTCATCTGTTTAGTGATCCAACCAAAGTAAAACATTTTTGACCCTGTGTGTTAAGCTGGTCTTATTGTGCCTGTTTTCTGACAATTATCTGCAAAACCCAGATTCATTTTGTTGCCAGTTGCTTAAAGTTGTTTAACCACATCCCTATTCGAACATTATTTTTGTATATTTTCTTGGAAAACATTAAGAAACCAATTATGATATTTTATATCTTTTATATTAAAATTCAATTTCTGAAAAATCAACTTCACTAGCTTTTTAAACTAATGATAGTGGAATGGTTTCCTATTAAATAATGCAGAGAAAATGGCTAATCTTAACCCCAAAAGAAAAGTTCTGGTTTTCCCAGCACTGTTGACTACTCCTCAACAGAATAAAAATGAAAAATGTAGTCTATAAGGTTGCTGAAAAAGTTTCAAAGTCTAATGATAACTACTAAGAAACTTAATTTTCTTATCTTTTCTACCAAAAGATTTAAATTTTTAATTAACGCTTTATTAACCTTTTCTCTATAGCATAATTACCTTATTTAACAGAATATATTGAATGTCTAGTTAGTGTCAAGTATTCTGTTAGGATCTGGGAGTACAAGAATAAGCAAAATATAGACCTTGACCTCATGAAGCTTAGTTTACTGAGAAAAATGAAACAAAAAGGATTAGCAAAAAATGTATAGCTTTTCCAAAAAATCCTGCCCTAAATCTACTCATCATGCAAAAGGGGACACAGCAAACAGCTGGTCTAGGAGTTACGCTCTCTCTAAAGCTATTTCCCCATCTGTAAAGTGAAAGGTGGCCTACTACTAATTTTCAATATTCTTCTTAAAACAGAAAATCCATTTTCAAAAAAGCAACAATTTTGTAAAAACTCAATGCATAAAAAAGATTAAATGAGACTGCTCTGGTCAAAAAGAAAGTGTGTTTCCATTTTGTTCCCCTACCTATTGTCAATCTGGCCCCAAAGCTGCTTCCGAAGAACCTTAGGGTTTGGCAGAAGACACTCTGACAAACCAATGGCAGGACAGTTTTCACCTTTCAGCGCCAAGGTACTAGGGTTCTACCTCATCACTTTAAGACAAGATTTTTCAAATAGAAAGCTCAAAGCAAATTATATTCTTGCCCAAAATTAAAAAACAGAAAATACCACAAAAAGAAAAACTAAGAAAATAAAAAGGAAGGTGGGCGGGGGAAGGGTGGAATCAACTCTTTTTATCTTGGGAGTGGGGGAAATTCCAAAAAGAAAAATAAGTAAGAGATGCATAGCAAGGAGAGCCAAAATCTTCCACTGAATGCACAGAGGTGGGCGCTCGCCAAGTTAACATGCCAGGTATGGCCCACTCTCTACAGCATCATCAACTTTCTCAGGCTCAGTGACTGCTCTACCTCTGCTTGATTTCTGCCTTTTCTTGACTAAAAAAGCAAATGATTTAGAGGGCAAAACCAACTGCTGTTCCCTCTCATCTTTCTGCCCTGTCTGTCCTTTGTCTCAGGTCCTACAGCTAAAGAAAATAACCGGTTATGGAAAGGCAGCAGTTATTTTTAAATCCAACAACACAAATCTTTGGAATAAGGTGCTATTCGCTAGCAATCAGTTGTTTAAGGTTGTCATTGAAATAGAGTGAATCTGAAATCTGAACCTGCCTTTTCTATAACATAGGATATAAGGTGAGTTTTTGCTCCTATACCCCAAATTAAGGCGGCTATTACAAAATAATGAAATGATATTAACCTCTGATACAGAACTGATAAAGAACTCAAGTACTGATGGTAAACTTAATGATATTAACTTTTATTTTATTTGTGATTAGAATGAGAAGATGGCTCCTCTTGCAATTCCTGATGTTTATTAGAATTAAAGCAGTTCTAGGAAAAGCTAGGAAACGTACATTTGAAACTTTAACCTGACAGATCCCTTATCTTGAGTACCAAATGCAGAAATCAGATCAATTATCCAGAGAATCTTGATTCAGGATTTTTAAATAATTAAAAATATGCACTACTTCAGTTCAAATATAAATTAGAAATACTTTTTAAGCTTGTGTTTAAAAGAAAGCAAAAATTTTCACTCTCCAAACTTAAAAGTTGAAAACTTCTATTAGCTTTATTTTTAATTGACTCTTTAAAATTAATCAGATTAACGTATTTTAAAAGAGCAAATCAAGCATTCCTTTGTACTTTGGTCTATCCTTCGCATATAAACAAATGAGTAACAAAGCACATTTACTGAGGGCTCACTTTACACTAAGCAGTGTGCTCGTTGCCTTAGATGCTCTATCTAGATAATTCTTCAACACTGAGGTAGGCGCTATCTATAGAGAAGCAAACTGAAGCTTAAGGAATTAAATATTTGCCTCAGCCCACACTGCTGGTGAGCGCCACAACCCAGATCTGAATCCAAGCCTGGCTCCAGGGCCCAAGCCCTTTACCACAGTGCTACACCAAGCATCTAGTACTTTCACCTCTGGGATTATGCTGGGTGGGGGGAGGGGAGCAGAGGTTACTAAAGGATAAAAATTTTGGAACTTAGATACAGCATCCTTTGTAAAACATCTAACTAAATCCATATTCCTTTTAGCTCTGAAACTATATAAGAGATATATTAGGAAAATAACTGTCCGTCTTTTGTTATTGACTGGAATAAGGGATGAATAAGAAAGAGAGAAAGATCAAAAATAACTGTTAATTTGCGCCTGGATAATAGGAAGAATGACCATGAATACAGTACAGATGTCAGGAAGAAATGATTAAAGGAGAAATACAAATTCTGCTTCATACCCATTGCACCAAAAATGAGAAGAGTAAAGAAATTAACATTTACTGAGTACCTATTAAGTGCCAAAAGCTGTTCTGAGCACCTTACATACGTTTTTTCATTTAATCATTTTGTAAGCCCTATAAACATATTATTAAATCCTTGTGACAAAAGATGATACTGAGGCTCTAAGATGTTAAGGAACTTGCCCAAGGTCAGACTGCTAATAAGTGACACAATCAGCATTCAAATCCAGATCCGACCAGATCCCAAATGTGTACACTGATCTATATGTTTATAATATTATCAGCAAAAGCAGAAACTTTAGATGGAGAAATCTAAAGGGCAGGTATCAATTCATAACTGTTTGAAAAACCAAAATCTAGAAAAGATTTTCTTCAAACATATATGGGCATATTTAATGCAAATTCAAACTAAGGCTAATTTAGTGCTAATTAATAAAGCTAATTCAAACACCCTATTGTTTAAAGAGAAAAATATGTCCATAGAAGTATTTACCTGGCCAGAGTTGAAGTAAGTAATGAAGAACTTCAATATGTTTTTTAAAATCCAAAGCACTTGCAAGTTCTTCTGAATCAGTAAAGACTCTGTTGTTATGGGTGGAAGTCTCTTGCCTCTGACTCAATAATACTGGTCCAAAGCACACGGCCAGATTCTGACAGGTCATCTTATTCACTTCATAATAAGAAGCCACCAATTTCAAGTGATCCAACAACATCGTTAGACTCGCCTAAATTAAATTAAATTAAATTTCACTTAATGGAGTTATACAGGGGCAAATTCAAGGACACAATTTATAGCAGAAAATACAGACAGGCATCCTGTCACTTTTAAAAAGTTTGTTTCAAAGATTTGCTTGTAAGTTGGATTTTTGGAACTTGAAATATATTATCTTATAGAAATGTTACACAAGACCCTTAGGTTCCAACAACATAATCTCATCTATTAAATGGTTAAAATATATATTCTTTATAAAATGCTCATGGGGCCAGCCTGGTGGCCTCATGGTTAAATTCTCGCACTCTGCTTCGGCAGCCCGAGGTTTGTGGGTTCAGATCCCAGGCACGGACCTACACACTGCTCACCAAGCCATGCTGTGGCAGCATCCCATATACAAAAAATAGAGGAAGACTGGCACAGATGTTAGTTCAGCAACAATCTTCCTTGGGCAAAAAGAGGAAGATTGGCCACAGATTTTGGCTCAGGGCCAATCTTCTTCACCAAAAAAACCCCCAAAAATGCTCAAGAAGGCATTCCAAATTTCAGCTAGAGTCCCTAGGAAAATATACCATTTTCCTCTCTCCTCTCCTCTAAAATGACCACAGCAAAGGCTGTGATGGAAAGGGAACTAGGGTAAGAGTGTTCATTTTTAAGTACAGATAAATTCTGTAATCATAAGTAGGGGACTACTATCCTTAAATCTAGGAAGGTAACCATTTCAGAACATGGCCAGGTTCTATCGTGATCCAGATTAGGAAAAATGCCAATGTGCTTCTTAAGTTATAAATAATTTTAAGTAGATAAACCATGGAAAAGGGAAGAATAGTATAGTTTGAAATGAAAGAAAAATTTATTAAAAAAATACTCTATTTTTTAATCATTGAAGAATGCTTACTCATTTGCTCAAGTAAGGGGTGTTTGCTCAAGAAGTAGAATGGTTATTAAATTAGGTTTACGCAATTATGGCACGGAATGTTTTTGAAGTAGTGGCACATAATCAATCATTTAACAAATAAAATGAGTGGGTAATTTCTTCTTCATAACTGTATTGAAGAAACAAATGACAAAAACTGTAACTTTAAAAAATCATAAAAAAAGAAAAAATCAAAATGACATGTTATTTCTGGAACCAAAAGTGACAAATGGATTTGGCGATTAGAAGGTCATTAGTAACCTTGGCAAGAACAAGTCCAGAGAGATGGGGTGGAAGCCAGATTGCAATGCACTGAGTAGTAAATGAGTGGTGAAGAAGTGATGTCAGCTGGGATAAGCATTCTTTCAATGTTTGGCTGTGAAGGGAAGGAATAAAGAGAGAATGAAAGCTAGAGAAGACTATAATTGATATTTTGAAATCAAAACCAGTCAAATATGTGAATCCAAAAACAGTGTAAATAATATTTGTTCCTCTTTTCCATTCATCCTACATTTCCTAACACAAGTGGGACTCCACATACATTGACTTCTTAAGGCTATTATCACCATGTTATATTGTGAACAGCACACACACACACAACCACAACTGGTTAAATATATTGAGTTCAATCTCAACAGCAAACCAAGAAATGCAACTTTATTTATTAATAAGAAAATCTTCTTCTGATCTACTAAATAAGATGAGACAAAAAATGTAATTGTTGTGTTCCTTTTGAAAAGTAATATGAAAACGTAGTAAGACGCTTAAAATGTTCACATCAGTTAAATCAGCAATTCTACTCTGAGATTCTAAGTAAGTAATTCTAACTGAAAAGAAATCTCTGTGTACAAATATATACAAATAAGTTCAAAACTTAAACACTATACAAAATAGTGACAAATTATGTCAAGTCCACTCAATGGTATATTTTGCAGCCTTTTTAGAAAGGATATTAATAGCATGAGCTTTAGGGACGGAAAGACCTAAATTCATGTGACAGACTACAACACTCAGAAAAGCTATATAACCTTGGGCAAGTGACTGAAATTCCCTGACACTCATTTCTTCACTTATAAGTAAAATGACACTGACAATTTTACCCTGTATTGGAGACAGAATATTTCTACCCCTTCATCCCACCCTTCTGCTTCTGCCCATCTGTTTGTAGCTGTTCCCCTCCCCCCACCCAAAGGAGTAACAATTGCTAATCTAATTGGACAGAGCAAGGACATTCAGAAGACTACAGTAAATTTGTGAATGAAGTTTCTGGGCTTATGTTCCTACCTTAACATTCCTGCACTCACTCTTGCACTTTCTACCCTCACATGATAAGAAATATGTGCAAAGTGAGTCTCATGTGGACAAATCCAGCCTCATCTCTCTCTCTCACTTTCCCTTTTGTCCTAAGAAACAACAGCTAAACTTAGGCTAAGATTGGTTCTGCAGACCCAGCCATCCCTCTGTCTCTGTTGTAGGCATACCTAAAGATCCTGGTCCCAAGATTTAGATTGTGGGGAGGCGGCAAATGGGAAGAGGCAAGAAGGAAGGAAATGGTGGTGGTGAGGGTTGCTTAAGTTTTGAGGCCAAGCCATGTGCACTAAAACAGTTACCATATTTTTAAAATATTAAAATGAAATAGACCAAAATGTTAAGCATAGTTGCCTTTGGATATTAATAATTGCAATTTTCTATTCTTTTCTATATCTTCCCAATTTTTCTATAATAAACATATATTATTTTAATAATAACTATTCTCTTTAAAAACTTATAGGGAGTATTGTACATAGACTAAAATCATATACAGAAAAGATAAAATTATTTTCTAGATTTATTCTGTTTAAGAAGTAGTTTCTAGATTTATGCTGTTTAAGGAGACTTTAGTAAAGGCAGAGCTTAAACTCATGAGTGCCACAAATGTCAAATACCTAAAAAATTATTTGTAGTTCTGGAGCTGACTACATAATTCATTAACTGGCTTTCAGGAAAAATGTACAACAACTACGCTTACCTTCTCAACATCAGGCAGACGATCCAGCAGGTCAACAGTGTACTTAGAGTCACTGAGGTCATTCTCACAACCACTTGATGACATTTTCAAAGGATTTTTTGCCATTGCATCTAATACAGCCTCATAAAGCTGCTTTGTTATCAGAGGAGAAGGAAGTTCTCTTAAATAATCCTTAAGAACACCTTTAGAAAAACAAACAAACGACAGACAGTCGGCAACTGGTCTTCAGAGTGAAATAAAAAACTGCAGTGAATTTTTTTTTAATTTAAGTATTATTATAGCCAACTTTTAATATTCTGAAAACAATAAAAGCAACAACATAAAAAAGAAACTATTATAACAAACACTAGCATTTTGTATTCTTGTAAACTGCCTTGGTAATCGACTTTTTGTTTTGAGAGCATGCTAAAAATGCACACACAAAATTTCCAATTATCATACGTTAGGTTTGTTACTCATAAAGTAAGCAATTCTTGATACATACACCCTATTGATTCTGTCCCCCTATGAAGAGCTCCTCTAAATGCACATAAAACAAAAGTTAAGAAAGCTAGGCATACTAATGGCAAATTATTCCAATTACATGAATTTTGAATTTCTAGATTTTTAATTGATAATTAAAGAATACCAATGGTCCATGTACAACATTGTGACAACAGTTAATAATACTGTGTTGCATTTTTGAAAGGTGTCAAGAGAGTAGATCTTTTTTTATTTACTTATTGACAAGATAAAGAATATTCTTCCTAACATTGCTTTGAAGATTTTAGTGGGTGTTGCATCCAAAGAGGAAGCTGGATCAAAATACCCGTCTGAATAAATTGGAATCACATCTTCCTGCTATGCCATACAATTTTTAAAACTAGAGATGGGAATTTTGATAGCTTTAGAGTAATTTACCTTGGGAAAGGATAAACTTAATGTCTGTTTTGTCTTTTTTTTAATTGAGATATAACTGACATACAAGAATAGCTCTTAAAAGTTCTCATCACAGGAAAAAAATTTTTGTAACTGTGTGGTGATGGATATTAACTAGACTTATTGTGGTGATCGTTTCACAATATTTACAAATATCAAATCATTATGTTGTACACCTGAAACCAATATGTCAATTACACCTCAATAAAAAAAAGAAAAGAATATCAATGGTCCAAAGCCCTTGCAAATAAGTGAGCTATATAAATATATTTCCTCTTTAATACAGAAGATGTGTTAAACATATATACTGGATGGCTGGATAATTTCTAATGCTACACTATTTTTAGAAGAAAAAAATCATTCCTAAAACCAAACAAATGAAATCAAAAGCCAACAGCAGAAATCGTCAGACTTGTTACTACATTAGGAGTGAGGGAAGTCAATTCCAAACACACCACAAGTGGTTATGATTCTAGAGAGATGACCTGTGTGGCACAGGAAACAGGAAAGGTTAATTAATGGTTGTTACACATAAGCACGGTAGGTAAAATACTAGCTAAAGGCCGGAATGTGATCACAAGAAAAATAGGAGATATTCCTGACATCAAAAACCTAAATATAGACAACACTGATTCAGAACATGCTCTCAGCTTAACTGAGAACTTACTTTGAAAGCTTGGTTTGAACTTGAACATGATCACATAAGAAGCTTCCCATCTATAATCTGTCTAAATTTTGACAGTAACGTGGTTCATTAGTTTCTTCCGCATCCTTCCAGTGTTTTTTTTATGCAAATATAATGTATTACCATTTGTTCCCCTTTATTAAATAAAAGTATATACCTCCTGTTCTGTTTCTTGCTTTTTCATTTAACATCATATCCTTCAGATCTTTTCAGTACACAGAGAGCTTCCTCAATCATTTTTACAGTCACATGATAGTATTCCAAAGTACAGATGTCCCATTGTTTTATCTAGTCAGTCTCTACAGATGCATACCTCGGTTGTTTCTAATCTTTCATTATTCCAAAACATGCTACAATGAATAACCTTGCACATCATTACTTTGTATATATGCAGGGATGTCTATAGGATAAATTCACAAAATAAGACCACTAAGCCAAAAATGCACTTGTAATTTTGAGGGAAAAGGAGGAGTAAGAATGTTTCCTAGGTTTGGGGCTTGAGCATCTAGGTGGATAGTAGTGGCTTTACTTATAGGAAAAAAAGAGGAAAACCAAGTTTTAGGCGATAGAAAGGAGTTTCATTTTGAACATGTCAAACTCAAGGTATCTATGGGACATTCAAGGTTGCTGGATACAAGAATGTGAGGCTCAGGAAAGGGATGGCTGGAGACACAGATCTGAGAATGATCAACTTAGAGATGATAACTGGAAACCTGGGAATAATTGAGATTATCAGGGAGACATACAGAGTGATACAAAAAGGCCCTTAAGAATATCACCTCTTAAGGGTGAATCAGAAAGAGGATCTTCCACAGGTGACTAAGGAAGAATGGCTAAGGAGGTATGAGTGGTAAGAAGAGGCGGGATGGGATTGGGGGAGACTGGCAAATATGCTGCCAAGGAAGTTAAGGAACAAATGTTTCAAGAAAGAGTCTATGGTATCAATTGATACCCAACAATGGTTAGATTAGGTAAGAACTGTGTTAAATATTATGGAGAACTGTATTTCTCAAACTTGGCTACATACTGAAATAACCTGAGGAACTTTGAAAAAACGGATTCTAGAGCCCTACAGCAGCCCTACTAAATCATAATCTCCAGGGTCAGGGCTCATGTCCCTGTATTTTTAAAAAATTCCTGTTGTGCTTCTAAGGCAGCAGGCTTTTATAACTAGGAATAAGAAACAATGAGATAATTTAAGACAAGGACCAAAAAATGTCCACCAGAGAAGAAAGTCAGCCACCTTGGTAAGCACAGTCTAGGGAATAAAAGACACAGAAGTCAGGTTGCAGTTTGTTAGGAAGCAAATGGATGTTAAAGAAATGAGAAAGAGAAAGAAAGACAGGTAACCTGCTCCAGAAATCTGGCTATGAGAGAAGGTGATAACCACAGAGGATCAAAGTAGGGATTTTTTTTTCTAAGATGGGAGAGACTTGAACATTTAAATGTTAACGTAAAGAAGATATTACTATGGTTTTCAAGGTCCAGGAGAGAGGAATATAATCAATTGAGCAAAGACGCCAAAGAGAAAGGAAGAAGAGGCTTCTGACAACACATGAAGGAATTAAAATTAGTCCAAAATGTACAGATGATCATTTCTATACTGTTACAGAAAGGATAGCGGAAAAGTGGAAAGGATGTATGCCAAAGAAGGCATGTTGGCAGGTTGGATCACAAAGTAGAGGAAGTTCCCATCTGATGGCTTCTATCTTCTCTGTCAGGTTAGGAGGCAAGGTCATATGCTAAGGGTGACATGGGTGAAATAAGATTTGAGGAATAACAAGATATTAAATAGACACTCTGGAGAATGAGACAAAGAGAGTGAGTGAGCAGATAAGAAAACATAATTATTAGCAAGTGCCACTGAGAGCCTAGTCAATTTTGAAGTTCACAGATTTATACTGCTACCAAGATATACCTTTGTGTGATGCTTTTCTAGTAGCAACTGGCAACCCAGATACAGGCTAGAAAAACAGACCAGTGCTTCCAGCCAAGATGGAGCGATAGGGACTAAATTTACCTTCCTGCCTGCAACAACTGGGAACACTAGACAAAATATCTGAAAAAAACTATGTCCAATATATTGGACATCAGGCAAAGGACAGTGATCTCTGAGGTATGGGAAACAAACAAGGTGTGCCCATAACTGCCCCCAGCTTACTCCCAGGAAAGACTTTCCAGGTCACAGTGAGGAAGTGGAAACCCAGGAAGCTAAGAGGTCTAGACCTGTTAGATAGATACTGATAGATATAAGTTGAAGAGAGAAGGCTAGAAGTCTAAGGAGGTCAAAGTGGCAATCGCTTGCAGGACAGAGTATTAGAGAGTAAGGAGATGCCCAGAAAGAACTCTGGAGATCTGTAAGGATCTCCTGAGTCTTCGTCTAAGAACTGATCAGCACATGCAGGTGAAGAAACCACCCAAGGCTGGGGAAAGAACCACACAAAAAGGATTAGAGGGAACAATTTTGGGAGCTTAGCAATAGCTCCTGTTCTGAGCAATCAAGTGGAAAACTTGATAATTCATAGGATTTGGGTACAGTCCTGTTATAGGCTGAATTGTGTCTCCCACAAAAAGATATATTTAAGTCTTAACCTCCAGTGCCTTAGAATGTGACCTTGTTTGAAATAGGATCTTTACAGAAGTAATCAAGTTAAAATGAGATCATTAGGGTGGGCCCTAATACAATATGATCGGTGTCCTTATAAAAAGTGGAAATTTGGACACAGAGACAGACATGCATAGCGGGACATGCACACAGGAAGAACACTATGCGAAGAGAGAGGATTGGAGTGATCTATCTACAAGCCAAGGAATGCCAAAGATTGCCAGCGGAATACCGAAAGCTAGGAAGAAGCAAGGAAGGATTCCTTTACAGGTTTCAGAGGGAGCAGGGCCCTGCTGACACTCTGATTTTGGACTTCCAGCCTCAGAACCATGAGACAATAAATTGCTGTTGTTTTAATCACCCACTTTGCAGCACTTTGTTACAGGAGCCATGGGAAACTTATATAAGTAAACAGAAGGGTTTTGCTTCAGTAGTGAACCAAAGAAGTAGAAAAAGAGGAACTTCATTTAAAAGCTGCTCTCATTCTGCTTAAAAGCACAACTAAAAAAGAATCAAACTCTTTCCAAGTAACTTAACTGCATACCAGAACAAAGCTCAAAGTATTTATAGGAATATAAAAATATCCAGCACCCAAGAAGGTAAAATTCACAATGTCTGACATCCAATAAAAAACTACCAGGCATATAAAGAAGCAGGCAAAATATAACCTATAATGAAGAGAAAAATCAACTGAAGCTGACCCAGAAACAACAAAGAGGATAGAATTAGTAGACAAAGACATTAAAACAGTTATTGTATGGTATTTCATATGTTCAAGAAGGAAGAAGAAAGACTGAACATACTAAGTAGAAACATAGAAGGTATGAAAAAAAATCAAACTTCAAGTAGAGAAAACTAAAATGTCTGAGGTTTAAAACACAGTGGATGAGACTAATATCAGAAGAAAAGATTAATGACTTGAAGAAACAGCAATAGAAACAATTTGAAATGAAACAGATTAGAAACAAAGGCTG